GGGTATTTTTTATTTGTACGGTTTTCTTTTCATTTCTTGTATTTGTTTCTCATTGATGGTGGAACTAGAAGTTTACTAATAGGAGATCAAAGATTTTAATTTTTTTTATGGGTCCATGGTTCATATTTATGTATTGTACTTCGTATAATTTAGAAGTATTTTTACGTATATTATTTATATGTATATTTCGTACATATATGTATGCAAAATTATTTGGGGGGGGGGTCAACAACCCCCATAACTTGTATCCCCATCATAAAGATCTCTCTGCACATGTCTTAAGATGTACGTAGTATTATCTCTGTGTTCATTTTATTGTTGCCGTTGTTCTTGTTGTTGACTTTCTTTGAAATTAGTGTTCAATACTTTCTAACATTCTTCTCAATTACGTGGTAATAATAATGTGATGAATTCAAGTTCATATTTTAATTATATCCATATTAAAATATGCCGTTTGAACTAGATATGACATTATTTTCGTACTCGTTAGAATAAGTACTTTGAAAAATTCCTGATAGTTAAATAATAAAGGAAAAATTGACAAAAATAATCCCACATTTCACTGGTCTTCTCATAATAATCCCACCTTTACGTAATCCAAGAATAATCTCACTTTTGCACCTCATCTTCTTTCATTGGACCCTGACCTATTAATAACCTATAAATGTGAGATTATTTATATAAGATTTTCAAAAAAAGGGTCTAATGAAAGAAGATGAGATGCAAAGGTGGGATTATTCTGGGATTATTTAAAGGTGGGATTATTCTGGGATTATTTAAAGGTGGGATTATTATGAGAAAATTAGTGAAAGGTAAGATTATTCTTGTCAATTTTTCCAATAATAAACTACTTACGCGATATAAAATACTCATACGTAGTATTATATAAAACATTAAAATTTGTCGAGTCAAATAAAATACTTATATTATATAAATATCATATCTTATTCAAGGTTTGCATATACTCTAATGAGATAAATAATTAAAACATACATGCTAATGATCTTGAACTCAATATATTAATAGTCCAATACCTACACATTTTAGAAGTTATAAAAGTGACATACATATATTTTATTCCATTCAGTTTGCAACTTGCAGCTATTATGAATATAAGATTGTGCAAGTTTCCCATCAATTACTATAATTTAACGCATCTTACTAAACTCAATCCAAATATGTGCTTTATTGGAAAAGGAAAAGGTCCATTTTTCTTTAGGACATTACATGAGCTTTATTGAGATAACTCAACCGAAATACAATCAACTCTAAGGTTGTGCCTAATGAAACTAGGGCCCTTGCCCAGTCAAAGAAAAAAAGTTCATTCTTTTTTCTTTAGGACAATACATACATGAACTTTATTAAGATAACTCAATGGAAATATAATCAACTCGGAGGCTATGACTAAGAAAACTAGGGGCCTTGCCCAACCAGAGAACTCGCTCAACAAACGTACAAGCAAACTTTGCACAATAGTGAGCAACCTGATTGAGCTCGCGCCTCATAAAAATATACTTACAACCTTATAGGAAATAAAAGTTTCACAAAGCTGTCGAATTTCATCTAAGATATAGGAAATTACTGAACGATCAGTACGATGTTGGTCCCAGTGTCGGACCTGTTCCAAACAATCAATCTCGAAGATCACCTGATTGAAGACATTAATGTTAACAACAAAAGGGGTCTGAAATCCCAACATAACTTTTACAGACTGTACTGTGAATGCTAATATTGCCATGCGCAACAATACTACTTCTCGCCGTATTATTGGACTGACAGAAAGCATCATTTGAATTGATATAAATTACACCTTTACACAAAGTTTAACTCTTCTTGTTTGGATTTAAAAGAGATAAATTTTGGAATGACAAATGAATTCAGAAAGGGATGCACTTCATCACTGAAAAGTCTTGAGAACAACTTGGATAATTTGGTAAAATGATTTTTTAAAGGAAATAGTCTATATATATCATTAGTTTCATGATCGTTACATCAAACAGATAAAAAATCATACGTAGTATCTAACATCAACTTCGACTATAAACCCTATGATTAGACATAGAAACAATCACACCTGAAAGAGGAACACGTATCGCTAAACACGAAGCGGGCTTGACACAAATACCACTGATCTTATAGATCCGTATACTTCAAACAACAAAATAACAATAAATAATAGGATAAATTTCTCGAACCCTAAAATCAACCCATGACAGTAGTTCAAGAGGAGGCTTGTCCATCAATACCGAGGTGATTGATTTTTCATCATCAGCCGAATTCTGACCTTCACCAAACCCGTCGCTCCCAAATCCTCGTTGCCCCTATTACATGCTTAAGTCTCTGCTCTTGTCTTCCTGGTCACGCCACCACGATCTCTTGCGACTGAAATGAGACATTTTGGCCGGGATATGCACCATACTGCCGTTCTCACTTTTATCCTATGCATTCTCGTTAAATCTACGGTTGAGCTGCTGAAAAACCTCCAAGCAATCGCATTCCCGCATGAGCAATATTGTATGATATGAATCCAAATCTTTCATTGAAGCTAGAGTAGCGTCAAAGCCGGGCTAATCCCAAAAGAAAAATAAAAAAAGCGCAAATCAAATAATCAAACCTATATTCCGCACGTTGCACACGTTGACAACCATGAAACCCTGCATAATGAGGTAAGGACCACTGTTTTTTGAATTAGGCAAAATAATTAAATTAAACTTTAATCATAATTTAATTAATGAATATAAAACCTCAAATTCATGTGTTTTATACCTTTATCATCTTTTCTTTTTTATTATCACAAAAACTTTGTTGCTTTCGCTTTTAATTACTCCGTAATAAATTTATGATTTCTATTATTTATGTCACCTTTATACGAAATTGTCGGTGCCTATCAAACACATAAAGTTAGAAGGGAGAGATTAGATATACGAAGTACTCCCCCGTCTCTCAAACATTTACCAAAGTTGATCAACATGTAGAATAATAAAGTAAAAACTATGTGATTGATATTTGTAGAGAGAAAATAAAATTGTGGAATACTACAAATTAATTGTTTAAAAAGAAAAAAGACAAAATTAATGGGATAATTGAAAAAGGGAAATTGAAAAAGTTACTCCGTATAAAAGACTAGGGAGATAGGGGCAATGGTTTACACTAAACGAACCCGTTAAGATCCGTTAAAATAACGCGCCATCAGGGCGTTCCTCTTCCGTCGCTACCCGCCACCGTTTCTGGCGTCGGATCCGCAACTCCATTTCAGACACGCAGAACATAGAGAGGGAGACCTTCATGACGCGTTCTAGGTCAAGGGCACCTATCGTATCCTTTTTTCTTTTCTGCGGGCTTCCAGGTAACTTTTATTTTCTTAATAACATGGACCTTTAATTTTCTTGGTCATTGATTTCTCAATCACGTTTTTCATCGAACCTAATGTAAATTTATTTTCCTTTTCCTGTTATATTACATTTCTCTCTCGAAGTTCTGCTTTATATTCTTCATTTTGATTGAAATCTTGTTTCTGTTTGTATTTTGATATACAGAACTGCTAACTGCTGCAGTTGTTACACTTGACTCGATTCAAATATATGAAACTCATGAGTTCCTTGGGTTGGAACCAACGATTTACTTTCAGTGTAAAGGGGAAAACCAGACAACTTTGCCGGATGTGAAGAGGAAAGGTGTTTTATATAGCTTCAAAGGAGAGGAGTCTTGGCAGGTCCATTTTTTATTTCACTGTACTTCATTGCATTTCTTTGAGATTTAACAAACATTATTAAGCATAAAGTTCGCTAGAATTGGCAGTGAATTGCCTCTTGATATGAGATGTTTTATACGCCCACTAATAATATCAGAATCCATCTCCCACGAATGGGAGGAAAGTCCCTTCCTGACAGTTGAGGAGTGACATTGCATTATAATCATACACAAAGGATGCAGTTTTTTTTGTTAGTTCGGTCAAAAGCGTTTTCTCGGAGAGTTAAAGCAGCAAATTTTTTATTGACAATGTAAAGATTTCTATTACTGTGCATGATTGTTTGAGGCTTTAATTTACTTCAAATCATCGATTGGAAGCATATTTGTAAAGCTATAAATGGCAGTTTTTAAGCAAGCTTGAAACTTGAAAGTCTTTCTCCCATAATGTACTCCGTTGCCCCTGTCCTTTACAAAGAATCACATTTAAAGAAGTTCCCCCCCAAAAAACAGTCTTGTTTTAACTTTAATTTAAGTAAAATTCCCGCATAGCAAGCAGCAAATGGTTTCATACCATTTATAACTTCCAAATTCTTCTACGTCAATAGAGTTGACTAAAACAAAAAACCGTGTGTTACTCAAATATGTCTCCAATTATGCGGAGTAGTACATGTAACACGCTACAATTTGCAAGAAAGGTTTTCTTTACTTTATTATGCGGAGTCTATCATGTACACAACGATTTCACTTGAACTGTGATAGATGTGATCTTGTGTCATCTTAGTTGTGAAATATTTTATCATGAGGTTTCACTTCTACAGTTTGGTGAGGAATGGGGTGTATTGGACCTGTTAGTAATTGATTACAGGAGAAAGTCTTGTGTTTTGGTTAATGTTTGATAGCCATTGGTCTTTAATAAAAGTAATTAGACAATAGCGAATAGGAAAGAATGTAATCAAGTGATATTTGAATTGTGCTATTGTTGTGAAAATATGAAAACATCTGTTTCATTTGCCTGGTAAGATTTGTATATTTTCCTGAATGAATCAAGCTTGAAGGGTTGTACTTCTTGAAATGATAAGAAGACTTTAAAAAAGTGAAATGTTAAAAAAATATAGAACAAGAGTATTATGGAACTTGTAGTAAGTGATGCCAGATAAGTTAGTGGAGAGTCCCGAACTTAGTGGAGAGTCCCACTAAGGGGCTGTTTACTTGGGACTTAATGGACTTAATGACTTAACCATTAATTCGTTCAGTCATGTTTACTTGGAACTTAATAAAACAGAGGACTTATTCGCTCAGACAAGAGGCGACTCATTCGTTCAGCGGAAAAAATAAACTCCTCTGGCTTCAGACAAGGGAACAGGCCTGTTTACCTCTTTTAACCCTAGGCAATATTTTCTTTCATCATGCTTCGAACATCGTGTTCTTCTTTGACGAACGAAAGAGAGCATGGTCACTACTCTTCTTCTTGAGCAGACAATTTCATCACTGCAGGATCTACATCTTCACTACGGTCTACGGATTTATCTAGATAACTTCTGGAATTGTTTATTTTTTAAATTTCATGTTTTTATATGAATATACAATTGCCTTATTATATGCTCTGCTCCGATTTTGAACCAGGAGCAAACTATCAAAGTAATCCACTTGCTGACTTGTTTGGCTGAATTTAATTGGAACACAAACCATAGAATAAGTAGATCTTCATTTTTACACATTCCAGATAATGGTTTCAATTTTCTGGATTTTTGTTTTGTGTAAACATTGTTTTTTGCTGGGTTTTCTAAGATGCCTCGACGGTGGCAATTCAGGGCGTTGTTCTTGCTGCTTTAGATTGAAAGTCATACGGTAAAACTCCTCGGTTGTGAAGTGATTTTTATTTCACAATTTTGTTTAAAAAATAGATCTTTGATTTTATGACTTATTTAATTATTTTCTGGTATATAAATTTTCTGGTAAAAAAACTTTTTTATTTAAGTAATTCATAGTATTATTATTTTCTGGTATATAAATTTTATCTTTCAGAACGAGAAAAGTAAACAGACAATATACATTCAGCAATTGTTACCAACAGGAGGGTTGTTTGGTCATTTTACAGAAATATACTTCTTGAAAGTGATGCATCACCTGTTTTGGCAGCTTTGATTGAAATTTAGGAATGTCCCGAACTTTGGTTTGATTAGCTTAATTATTCAGTCAATATTTATATCCTTCTAGTAATAATCTACGAACTATGGTGTACATGAAAGCTAAAGGAAGTATGAAGCACCTTCAATTTCTTTCTGATGAAGTATGTGAAGGGGTTAGAAGTTAAGAAGCGTTTTACATGATGGTTTCTTTCTGATGAAACCATCATGAATTGATGCAAGTCAAATCCATTTACATAAAGAGCTTGATTTCTTAAATCATATAACCTTTTATATAATATGTAATACATAGTACTGATAACGTTTAATTCCTCATACGAATATTTATTTTGTGAACTCTTGTTTGATAACCAGTTCAGCCTCTTGCCGAACTTCCTAGTAAAAAATGCAAGAGATGTGGATTTTATGAAGAGGACACAATGAAGCCACATGATGTATTTGATGAGTGGGAGTTTTGTGCTTCTGATTTTTCGAGTACTGATGGAAAATACATCCATTTCAAGGAGAAGGAGCTCAACGCAACATTCTTGTGCCCCGAGTGCATCCCTCCTGTAGTTGGTGAGTTGATCACTACATTATGGCTCTAATTGAATTTCTGCAGCTTCTTATTTTTTTTTCTTTTAGAAAATTATCTTTTAACATGCCTTGTTATTCTGTATTTAGCAGCTCCATATCACCCAAGTCCTTCAAATGAGAAGGAAATGCACTGGGCTTTAGTTGTGGTTATAGCTGCTTTGGTCTCGGTGGTTTTTGTTCTGAGTGCGGTAACTTTGTATAAGTTTTGGCAAAGAAGGAAGAGACAGCAAGAGCAAGCACGCTTCTTGAGACTCTTTGAAGGGGATGATGACATAGAGGATGAATTGGGGATTAGCCCTCTCAGCCATGTCACTTAGAACTTTGTAGCATGTTTTGTTGATATGAATATAATTTCCCAGGCCATGTAATGATTAATTGATCTATCTTAATCTAAAAGGAAAAGATTTTCATGAACAGGACTCCCGCTCAAAACTCTCAACATCAAAGCAAATTGTGGTAAAGATAAATAAATAAAGAAAAAAGTACCATCGCATGTAGGCGTGCCAACGTAGCGTGTAGAGTTAGCAAACCCCGGTGTAAAATTGAATATTAAATGATACGGAGTAATTGGGCAATGGTTGTATAGATTTATGCGTGTAACCCATTTTCTGACTTTGATTAGTCACTTCATCTGACATTGCCCATACCACTTCGTCATGGTTTTTTTTTTGCCAGCCATACACTTGAATGGAAATTTGGCTATAAATGCATTCTTTGATCGGATGGTTTCCTCACACTTGCTCACAACTCTAATACCAGCTCTTGAAATACATTATCAAAATGGTTAGAGTGGTCCCTAATCCGAGATATTAGCATCACTCCTGCGGTGGGATAAGAAGGTGGCGAGATTGATCGAGATGTCTATCTTTTCCCTGAAAGATCACATATCAAATTAGGGCTCATGTGTTAGTATTTATGTTTCATCTGTGTGTGTTTTATTTAGCAGTGATAACTGTGTCTACTGGGTTACAAGAGGATTTATTAGGTAGATGCATAAATGTATAGGGATGCATATAAAAATATATAGGGATTTTACAGCACTTCTCCAATGGATAAACCAAATTAAAAATGATACAAGTATGTCATTCTCCATAAAGACTTTTTCTTCATTTAGATTTTTCTACAAGGCAAATAATCAGAATATCTCCCGTGCAATCCTAAGATTATGATTTTATCCCATTGACGGATACCCGGCCATGTATAATAAAAATCTTGATGTGTATTAAATTCCGTGTTAATTATGGTAAAAATGTTAAAACGTTTGTTATTAATGGGAGATGAGTATGCCCTTTAATGATATGATTATGCTTGACTCTCTGCGTACAAACAATGAACAAGGACACAAGGTGCATAGCAGTTCAATCAACGGTCTTTCTAATTAATAAATCATATAATTGAATCAGTAAAAAAAAGCTTTTAGACTAAATGATAATGCTTACCTAATAACGCTTCACATGTAGTGTTCTTTTATTTCTCACTTTCTCCCCATGAGCACTTCTTGGACTGCTTCTCCTAATATGCTCCCAGGAAAAGTAGTAAAGGAATAAATCATTACTGCTTCTCTTTAGGAGAGATTTAAGTTTAAAAAAATATTGGTGTGGGAGGTAAGGTTCACGTGTGTGTTTAGTTATATACAACTTCTATAACCCAACAAAAAAAATTGCACAGATTCTCAATTAAACTGGAAATAATAAACTGAATTTTTTGGGTTAAATACTGTGCTCATGTCTATTAATAGTTCTTTGATTTAGAGTCTCAGATGTTATAATCTTACAGAATCTCCAATAATAGTTCGTGTATGGTCTAATTTATTTTTTAATATATTTGTAAAAATTGTTGAGATACAACTCCCTTTCTCTCCAATCAATTGGGAATAAATAATCAAGACCGAATTACCTATCAAAGTGTAATTCGGTGTTTGCTATTACAACTAAAGTGAGGATAGTTGGGAAAAAGATGTTGCTGAAGGTGGGCTTTTATAGCTGAGCATTGACGTAGTAATGCATCCCACGAAATGTATGTCTCACACCATTTTCTGTTCACACCACCCTTCCCCACCAATGGAATGCAAGCAAGGATAACATTCAATCACAAATTTAGTCTACAGTAGCTTTACTTTGTACACCGTGCTCTTAGTTTGGTAACTATATAAAAAAATGAATTTGCCAAATACAGGTTCAATAAAAATTATCAATTTTTTAATGTAAAAAATTATCAGTGAGAAGAAAGTATCGTTGGTAAAACGCTCACCAACAAAGTATCGTATATTGCACATTATAAGTGAGAAGAAGAAATTTAGGGGGAACTATCATCAATTCCTCCCGTATCATTTTAGTATAGTTGTTTTTAATAATCGATCCAATTCTTTTAAACTTTTTTAAGCGATATCATTACTTTTCACATATAAACTCAACATATATGCTTGAATTAGTAGGAGGTTCTTTTTGAACATTTTCCTACAAATTTATATTTATGTATAGTCCCCCCAATAAAACTACTTCAATATCATAGTGCCCTCCGTCCTTAGCAAGTTTACAAAGACAATTCTTTTACAAAATACAATTCGTATAAATAATAGTCAGCATATTAGTTCAAAGTTGTTGTGTATAAAAAAATATTTCATAACATTTAGCAAGGAGTTTGATGTGTTTTCAAATTTTATCTATACTGCGTGTAATCGATGGCTAATCGAATTTAATATATTTCATTGCATATCAAAATTCATTAGTGTAGGTAGTGTAATTCTAAACAATTAATTTTTTTATTCTTAATGATTCGTTTAGAATTACAATTGTATTATTTATTCATTCAAAATTTGACTAGGCATGATTGAACATGTGAAAAATTCACCAAATGTGCCTTGAAAAAAATAAACCAGGAGATATGTTTTTAAATATGTGAGATATATTGGTTGTGAATCGTGTGACGAATATATAATTCCGACTACGGTCCCCCCCCCCCTCCCTTACAAAGACAAATCTTTTAGAAAATGCAATTCATATAAATAATAGTCAAGATATTAGTTCAATGTGGTTGTGTATAAAGAAGTATTTCATAACATTTAGCAAGAAGTTTAATGTGTTCTCAAATTTTATTATACTGTGGTTAATCGAATTTAATATATTTCATTGCATATCAAAATTCATTATTGTAGGTAGTGTGATTCTAAACCATTCATTTTTTTTTATTCTAAATGATTCATTTAGAGTTACAAGTTTATTCGTTGTTCCAAATTTAACTACAAATAATTATATATGTGAAAAATTCACCGACCGTGCATCACATGAGTGTTCTACTCGCTTATTAAAAAGAGAATTGCTTTCTTCAACAACAAAAAAGAGAACTGCTATAGGAGATTAAAGTGGCTAGATTGAATGTGTTTTGATAGTAAATGTTATTAAATGAAACTGTTACTTTTTGTATATGGACTCAACTGACATGTTTAAAATAGTAATCCATGATGGCCAGATTTAGTAACATGTTTAAAATGGAACTATTACTAATCTGGGTAGGTTATCCAGATTTATTCATCACCGTTGCGTTCAATCTAAGATGGTCAGAGATAGCGTAATTTGAATTAGTGATGAGCACAAATAAATATGAAAGAAAAAATCTTCAACCGTGCATCGCACGGGTGAGTTACTAGTTTGTGTAGTAGTAAAAAAAGGCGATCAATCCTTTCAAAAAAAAAAAGGCGATCAATCCTTTCAAAAAAAAAGGCGATCAATCATCATTTGTATGCAATGGCGGACCCAGAAATTTAGGGTCACGGGGTCCCTACCATAATGTAACTCTAATTAATAAAAAAAGAAGTGAAATATTAAGAGCCCCTTTGGTGAACTTGTTTTTCTGCTTATCAGGTTTATCATTTAACTTATTCACCAAACACGCAACTTTCGATTTTGTACACTGAATTGTGTAATAATAATAAAAATAAGGTTAGAGTTACCTTTTCTGGTTGTATTGCCTTAAGTCACTGCATAAAATCATTTTAGCTATCTTTCATATAATTTTATCTTTATTTTATTAATAAAATATATTTTGAATATAATTTTTTCATAAATCAGTTGAATCAACCAATTCAGTCACTTCCGTAATAACTTCATAAATTTTAGGCGATTTGAGTATTACCAAACAGGCTATAAAGTAGCATGATGTTTCATAGTTAACGACTCAACGTGCATAACACATAAAATTACATATATATTTCATTCTACAAATGTACCTTATTAGGTTTGAACATGTTGGTCTTCTATAATACAATTAGTCCAAAAATTGAATTGTGTAAACTTGAAGACAATGATTTTTTACAATAAAAAGTTTTTAAAAAGAAGCGGAAAACCTAGAGGGGATCGAACCCTGCATCTCCTCAACTTGGGCGTTTAAGATATGCTACTGCAACCACTCCTCCACTGCAATTCTTTGGTTTCATACTAGCTATTATATTATTTATACAGTTTTTAGTAAATTTTATATAAAATATACATAATATATATAGTTATTTTTTTAGATCCATGGGGTCCCGGGACCCCATGGGACCCTTAGTGGGTCCGCCATTGTTTGTATGGTAAAAGCAAGTCTCTAGTCTGTAACTCATTATGTGTAGTAAATTTTGCTATACACAGTAGCTAAACAAGTAGTCCGCTGGGCAAAAATCAGCCATAAAGGCCATTAAAAGGGGAAGAACGAAAAGGGAAGTCACTCTTTATCAGAGCCAGGTTTCGATCCTGGGACCTGTGGGTTATGGGCCCACCACGCTTCCGCTGCGCCACTCTGATTGTTGTGAACATATTTGTACAATGCTGTATATATAGAAAACCTTCAATCAGAAAAGCCTCCTCAATTAATAATTGCGCTTTAGCCTGATTGCTAGTTTGCTACCAAACCTTCATGTATTCTTTAATTCTTCTCCTTTACGTAGTTGAAGATATGATATTGATATATATTTTGAAAATAAAAGATATATCGACAGACTCTTATACCAAAAGTCATATTCAAATATTTACTTTGAATTTATAAAAATGACTAAAGATACACAACATCTTCTTAGAGATAAATGATTTTATATCCATGATGCTTAAATAATTTTGTTACAGACCACTATTGATGTGATTATATCTATGTTCTTTAAATTATTTTTAAGAGAACGTATTGTTGTTTAATATGTGGCACATTGAACTAGTTAAACATACTCATAAGTATTGTTATTGTTCAATATTGAGTAGTATATCATTATGTTATTATTTGTATTTTGTAACTTCTTAATAATGGATTAAATATGTCACTTGTAATACCGATTTTGTATATTTTGTTAGTGTATGATAACTTGTTGTATTGAGAACATGCATGCTAAATTCCAAATATCGTACCTTTACTGAAGTGAAACTACGATATACTGATTTTTGGTAAAGTAA